ACATCGCAACGAGAGGATCGTTATTGAAGGGTTCAAGAAGAAGAACTTTGTCTTCCAGTCCCTGAAGCGTGTAAGTACGGATGGCTCCTTTAACGGTGAGGCTCCATATCTGGGCTACACGTGGGATGTGGACAACGATCGGCTCTGTCAAGTATTACCACCTTTGGATCTGCAATCTCCGATCGCAAAAAGGTCCTTAATTAGTTCTCTATCAGTATGGTACGATGCTGCTGGCTTATTCATTGCGGTAGGTGTCAGCGCGCGTTTACTGGCAGCAAATATTCATGCCCAGCTGCTCGACTGGGATACACTTGCTACTGAAGAGCTCATTGAGAAGGTCCAACAGTGGTACACCGATATAAGGTCGAAGGTATTTTCGACACCCCGAGCTCTTAATTTGTCTACTCTCTACATTTTCTGTGACAGCTCTAATGCGGCCTGGTGCTCTCAAGTGGATTGTCCCCTCATATCAACTGAAGTCGGTCCTTTATACGTATTGAGGAGCGTTGCTGGTGTTTATGGACCTCATTGTCGATGGTCCATACCTAAAAAAGAGCTGTATAGCCTATGGCGGTCAGTTCGCCTATGTGGGGATGTTCTAGAGTATGTTGATAACGTCAGAATACCAATATCTTCTATTATATTCTATACCGACTCGGCAATTACTCTATGGCGTTTGAAGCGTCCAAAGTTGGATGATGATCTATCGCGCCTGGAGAAAAAATGGGTTAAAGATATAAGATCAGTTTGCTCGAAGTTATTCGGCAAAGGTTTAGGGGGTAAGGTGGTGCATGTGAGGTCTGCCAGATCGATTCTACTACTGTGGTCTTGGCTGAAGTAGCACGTAAATGGGCATTGGGGTCATCGTTGGTTATCTTCGACCCAGCTGTGTCGGCACTACCTTCTAAACAATGCGTCGATGATTTATCTGGCCTACAGTGTATGACCATTATCACCGACTCGACTAATGGCAGTGAGCCCTCCACACCACAGCCGGTCATATCTGAGTCTGATCAGCATGTTGATTGGGCAGAACTTGCCCGAACAAACCAGAATTCATCGTCCTTCCTTACCGCTCTTCGAGAGTTTCTACTACATAGGAAGGTGCCCGATGGTTGTTCTATTCCGCATCGAGTTCTCAACGATGCTTCCAAGTTCCATACGGTCGAGGATGGTATATTATATCGGTGTGTAAGATCAACTTCAGAAGGTCAACCTCTACACCAAGTGGTATTGGACCCAAAAGTCGATGATGAGGCAATGATTAATCGTTTGATTGACCACTACCACAATACTACTACTCATCTGGGAGCTGAAGCCATCGCTCGTACAATTAAGATGGAATATTAGTGGCCTAGGATCAACTGTTATGTTCGTAATCGTCTGCGAACATGCGATCCTTGCCAAAGAGTTCATGCCTCTGTGGCCTGGCGCAAGACCGTAGGGTCTCTACGGATGAAGTCTACTATATCTGGTCAAGTGCTTGGGT